CCGGTGAGCCGGGTCTTGTGGGGGGGGGTGTGATCGGACTGCTCGCCCTGGCCCGTGAGCCGGGTCTTGTTGGGGGGGGTGTGATCGGACTGCTCATCCTGTCCAGTGAGCCGGGTCTTGTTGGGGGGTAGGGGGGGTGTGTGATTGGGCTGCTCACCCTGGCCGGTGAGCGGGGACTTGTTGGGGGGGGGGTGTGACCGGGTCTCTCGCCCTGCCCGGTGAGCCGGCTCTGAGTGGCTCCTCTGCTCTGTCCGCAGTACTGCCTGGAGCTCTACAACCCCAACAGCAAGGGCCAGAAGATCAAGGCCTGCAAGACGGAGACGGACGGCCGGGTGGTGGAGGGGAAGCACCAGTCCTACAAGATCTCTGCCGCCTCCGCCGAGGAGAGGGACGACTGGATCAAGGCCATCAGGTGAGAGAGAGAGAGAGAGCGAGAGCACTGCAGCTCTCCTCGCCGCCAGCGCCCTTCCCCTCTTCCTCCTCCCCAGGCGGCCATCTTCTTCAGCTGTAGCAATGACTCGTGGGATACGCGGCTGCTGGCTCTCGCCTTGTCTTGGCGCTGGAAAACGGGGCCGTCTGCTGAGACCTCGCTCTCGGCTTTGCATCGTTTTCATCAGGCTAGGACAGCTGGCCAGACTCTGTAAGGAGGTGGCGGCACGATGCTGTTATAGCAGAGAACTGAGCCTCTGGTACGTCTGGAAAATCTCTCTCCCCGACAAACAATAGTCATGGCCAATATGTTCAGGACATAAAAATAAAAGAGAGCCCTTTTTAAAACCATGACTCAATTCTCCGTTTTAAAAAAAGGTTTTGCTTATTTAGGCTGTGCAACACCAACAACTTCCTTTCCTCTTCCAGTCAGGCGTTTGCTCAGCCTCTAAAAAGCCCCCCGCCCATGCTCACCTCGCCCTCTTCCCAATACGTGATCCTTCCATCTCCTTCCCAGGGCCAGTATTTCTAAGGACCCCTTCTACGACCTGGTGTCGGTCCGCAAGAAGAAAGTGATCAATCAGGTGGCTGGAGACTGAGGCGTGCGCGTCTCCCCTCGCCGAGCGCCGCGGGACCGACCTGGGCTGTCTGCATCTCTCTCACACTGTCACTGTACAGGGACTATACTGTAGAGGACAGAGGACAGCAGGGGCTGTGAACCTCCACTGGACTGGCACTGTGGGACTAGACTGGACTCCTGTACAGTATGTCTCTCTCACACTGTCACTGTACAGAGACTATACTATACAGGACATAGGAGAGCAGGGGCTGTAAAAAATGTAGCATAACCTCTAGACTCTTCCCTCTCGTTGTACTTTCTCGCAATGTTGTTTTCTGCTGTTGGGCTTAAGAAACAAAACCCGTCTTGGCAGGAAACTTGCCCAGAGGAATCAGCTCTTGTTCATGGTGCTAAACTGTGAAAACCACCGTTTTACATCGTCTCCTTGAGCAATCGAGTCATCTGCGCTGGAGATCACAGCCAGGGTCCCAGTCCAGGATGAGCCCCTACAGC